AAAAGATAAATATTATTGTAATACACAGATCATAGGACATTTAAGAGCATATAACCCCTGAAAACTCAAAAATTACTAACGTTAGAGCTCTCTGATGGTTTGCTATTGTATTGTAACTAAAAAAGTAAAACATTCAATCTGTTTATTTCACATGAGTGATATAGATTTATTAATGTAATATAACATTCTACAGTATGTCCTTACTGGTGGTAGCATCCACCTGAAAAAAATGAAAGACGTTCTAGTAATTTATTTCAATAATTTGCTTACATTGGATGTGTAACCTGTGCTATTTTATTCTTCCTACAAGTGGAACAGATGGGATTAGTCTAATCAGGTTTTTTCTCCTGTTTTTCACTGTTTGTGTCCTCTTCTACCTAGTGACTTAAATACTTAAATAATCCCTGTACCCAAACTTCAGCATTCTAAAGACAAGGTATTATAATTTTCTTTTTTCTACTGGAAGTGAAAAAATTTGTTGGTTTTTTGTTTTTGTTTTTGTTTTTGTTTTTGTTTTTGTCTTAGCAGCAGTTTCTTTCACTAGGCACCACTTTCTAAGCATAGCAAAAAAGTTCAATTGAACTATTACACTTTTCAGAACAAACAGTTAGATTCTGGAAAACATACCCATTGGGCCAATACCCACTTTGTAGACCTCTTAATCCTAACTTTCATGCTATTTCTGTGCTTCTCCCATCAACTGTGTGTGCCTCATTAATTTCACAAATGTCTTATTTTACCCAGAAAATTGCAACATAATGGGATAAAGTGAAGTTACTGTGAACTACATCTTGTAAGATCTTGTGGACATTCTCAAGATAAGCTTAAAACTTTTTGCCACCTCCTGCTTAGAAACTTTACCTCAGCTGCTTGTCATTCCTGTCTGATGAAGTTCATGTTGTCTCTTTGCTGTCAAGTGCTGGCTTCAAGGTAAAAAGCATAAATATGTAACCGTTGCAGTGTTTTTTCACAGAAATTATGGAAGAGGAAAGGGAAAAGAAATATTATTGCCCTTACTATAGAAAAACCTGACACAGAGAAAGCAACGGACAAGTGAAAAATACTGAGTTGTGAAGATAAATCCCAAAAAACTCTAAGAAGCTATATCCTAGAAATTGCTAACTCAAATGTATTTTTTTTTTCTTTTGTTAAAAAGATCCAAAATGTCTGACTTTCACTGTACTAAAGCCATTAAAAAAATTGCCTTTTAATTTCCTGACAATTGCAGCACATGAATTATGGATGTATTGGCAACTGGTGGTTCTCTTTAAAAGCTATTTGACCAGTTGCATACTGTCATCCTAAAATTCTGTAACAAAAGATATGTTAAAGACTAGAAATCAGTATCAATTACCACCCAAATTAATACAATTTAAAAGTTCTTGAAAAGGCAAACAGTTCATCACTGAATTGAACAACTGAATTGAAAATTCCTACTTGAAGCATTAGCAAGAGAAGAAGCAGCAGCTTGTTCCCTTTTTAAATGGCTGTGGCCAGCCATCCAAATTGGCAACAAAAAGATATAGAACCTCATCAGTTCATAGAAGAATTACAGTTCCCAAGCCCAGGTTCAATTTAGCTTATTCAGCTTTCAGCACATTAACTTCAGTATCAGGATTGCTTAGACAAAACTTCAGGTTTAATATAACCTTTCTGGTTTTTAAGGCTACTGATAAACCTGGTGAATTTTGAACACAGATGCAATTCAAATGACTAAAGTTGGAGAGGAATCCATCTACAGAAATTAATGATACTTATAGATTCATCAGCTCATCAATTACAGTGTGACATTAAGTCACTTCCAACAGTGCATTTATACAGTATGCATTCTGGTTGCATACCACTGTACAACCCCATTTATGTTGTGCAATTTTAATGTATTTCACCTTATATGAAATATGAGCTTCTTGGGACCAAAAGAAATTAAATTAGCAGTATCAGTCTCAGTATCCTTAAAACACTAGGGGATACTTGTGCTAACCTTCTGAAGATGAAGAAAAAGAGTGCATACCTGAGGTTTGTCTGTTAAAGAGAATCTGAAATTAAGTAAACTACATCAGTCAGCACATGGATCTTTTTAATCTCTTCTTAATAGTCAAAATATAATTTCTATATCTCTGCATAAAAATTTTAACTGCCTTTTTGCATATTAAAGAGTTCTAGCTTGTAGTGTACAATGCTTAGTAGTATAACCAATACAAGAAAAATGTGTTTGCTTGCAGACACCATCTTCCAGACTCCATTCAGTTAGCAACATTGCCTTTTAAAAGGCATTTTATTTTAGCTTCTACTTTGCATTTCTGTTAAGTCCTTGGTAGATACTGGCATTACTGCTGATCCTGCAATTCAGTCACATCACATTTGTGTCAGATATGCACATGTTGGATAATGAGAGAAGAGTTTTTTGACAATATCCATAGAAAAAATGAATTGATTATAGGTTCAACAAGGTATTTGGGAGCCAGGAGCCCATATTCACAACTATTAGATACATGTAGCAACATAGGACTTGTTATGCACATTTTTGGGGTTTGAATCATCAGTTAATTTTTTTCAGACAGTTTGTATGTGAAAAGGTAAAATAATTCAGATTTTCTGACTCAGACTAGTATATTACTTTTTTTTTTTTTTTTGGTCAAAAATACCCAGACATTTCTTTGGGAAATTTATTCAGAGAAACTCACTTTGGCCCCTCAAAGACACAAATGACAGGTTATCAGGATATATATCTATCTCCTTAGGTATCAAATATGAACTCACCACCCTAGGGTCCTTTACCAGTCAAAGGAAAGACAGACATGTCCTGAGGGAATTTATTTCATTATAAAATGGACGTCAACAGTAAATAATAAGATTCACTCTGGATTTTCTGCTTTAAGACATCTACAGTTACGCAAGAGAAATCCCACCAAAAGCAACAGAGCCCAGATTTGATATAAGAGTAAAGGAAGTGCTTTCATAAACAATCTGGCTGTTAATAGTCCTTTTTTCTGATTCTATTTCTTTTTTTTTTTCAAAAGATAGAGAGATATGAGAAACATCATGTGAGTAAATATTTCTATGAGCTGCTTGGTATTTCAAGTAAACAATTTTTTTCCTGTAACATCTAGATAGGAATGAGGAGTTAATTGAAACTAAAATTTGGTCAATTTATCCAAAGAATTAAAAAAATTCCTTAACTCTTTTTGTTTCTTTGGCAGTGGATGACACAGTAAAGGAGAATGATTCTGAGTAAATGCCTCTCTCAGATAGGAAAAATGCTAACATCAACAGTATGTGCATGTCAATAACCATCTTGTAAAGAAAATAAATACAGGTACCTCTAATCGCATTTAATCATTCTTCTGTGCAACAGTTTGGGTTTTTTCCCCCTCTGTGTTCTTATATTCACTTATCACGTATGCTGTCAAATAACTAATTCTTTCTGACAACTGACAATTTAAAATAAAGGTATATTACAGGAAGGTGAGTGTCATTGTTTTCCATGAATTTGTAAGAGCTATGAACAAATAGGACAATTCTAAAAATAGACACATAGATTATTATCATAAGCCCCAACTCTCATGGCTACAGGATATCTTTGGGATAAAGTAAGTACAAAGACTGGCATAACTGCTGTATAATTTAGGCTATTTACCTCCTTTAAAACATTAGATAACTTCTTTCTGTATTTTATGGAAACCAGTGTAGAATTATAAACTGTATTAAGAAAAAAATTCATGTAATAACACTGCATTGCCAAAATTCAAGTTATGCTAAGTAACCATAATTATAGTCTCATCAGAACTGAAGTGTTTCAAAACACCTATAAAATTTTGGTGCCTCTGCCTACTGTTACAAGCAAATAAATCCACTGACTTAAGTAGCAAGAACCTTTAGCAGACTGAAATAAAGATGGCAAGAGAAAAAAACCCCAGAAGCCTCAATTGTTAGGATGCCTAGTGAGACAAGAAAGGTTCTACATAGCAACAGCACTTTAAGTATGAATAAATAGCCATAAAGTTCGCTGGTACTGCATGGAAGCTTGCAGATGGCAGATGAATTCATGTCTGTCATGTTTTTATAATACAATGACTTTTACATATTGCTGCCAGATGGAACACAGTTTTGCATCTTCATTATAAATCTCAAAAAAACACAGCTTCCTTCAATGTGTTCCCTATATTTGAAACAAAAGCAAATTCAGAGACAGATTTGGGAAGCTAAAGCAGATTTAAGGAAATATAAATTAAATCCTCAAGGGCTTCCTTGTTATAACTCAATTCAAAATAGTGGAACTCCCCATGTGTTCTCAGTTTTTTAGGAAAATCACGGAAGGTATCATACAGATTTCTATACAGGGAGAACCACATGTTCATTTTAAATATAAATACATCCAAGCAGTTCCAGAAGACCTCTTAATTGAACTTAGTATTTAAAAAATCTTTTACATAACATAACGTTTATTCCTGCTTCAATAAAACGTGGTATCTATCCCACAAGCTCAGATGGTAGGAGTGCAGTGCATGAAGCATAAACGCATTTAATCATTGTTGATAGAGAATATCTATATATACATAACAGAAGAACCTTGCCTTTCCCATTGTGATAAACAATGCCTAGACAGACCTAAAATCTAATTCAGATCTGGTTATACCAGCTTCTGTAGAGATGTACTATGAAGAAAGCACAGAATTTTTCTATTTTCAATGTGTTCCTGCATCACACCTGGCTTCCTTCTGTGTGTCTCATCTTTGCTTCTAATCCTAGTTGGTGTTCCTATGAAGCAAATAACTCTGATAGCAACAAAGTGAATTATATGACTGTAGGGAAGAATATTTTCCCATTCAGTGGTTTCTCACAGAGTCTGATTTGACAACAAACTTGAGCTGACTTCTCTCAGAAAGCCTCAAGCATTGTTTATATGCAGATAATTCTGTGTGTGAACCCATTAGGCTTTTATGACAGTTATAATCAAATATGATTCGGAAACCTTCTGGCTTACTTGGATCCATACTTACATTGTGCTTTGTGAGGTTGGAAATGTTACTTGCTATTGCTTGTAGCCAGTCAATACAGTCTTCAGCAGAGAGACACTGAATTATTCCACTGCAAACCCCATCCACAGCAATTACTTGGAATGCATTTTGCCTACAGACATATCATAACAGATCAGGTCAGAAGAAAATTTTATCTTTTCTAGCATATCATCTTAACAATACTTGTAAAAATGCTTTTCTTTCAATTGCAATGAAGGTCAGCCAGTGAACACTGATAAAATGCTGGTTTTCCTACTTTATAAATATGACATATTAAAATCAGTCTAAAAGGTCAACTTAGGCAATATTAAGCTTCCATAAGGCTATTAAAAATTCCATAGTCCAGCTCCACATAACACTGACCATCAGGCCATACAACCTCAGAAGCTGAACAAGTGATAGGGCTGATTCATATCTTAGACTTAATACTTTAATACAGCAGGCTACAGAGAAGGAAAGTGCATTGGAAACCATAGGCAATAATTTGGGAAATTCAGTGAATACAAGTATCTTTTTTTCAACACCTTTGTCTTATTTTTATAATACAGTGTCTAAACACATTTGGATTACTGTCTGGAGGACCCTTGTTGGCTGCTCACACTTATAGAATTCTTTTTCCCTTCTAAACTACTGACTGAAAACTTGGAGAACTCAAATGTGATCAAATAGCATTAATGATTTTGTCAATTGCACTCTGATCATTACCAAAATACACTCCTGCCTCTGCCTCTACCCTCAGAAACGATCTGGGCACATATACAAAGATCTATCATGCATTAATATACTGATTTTCCACTTCCAGGCACTGAGCAATTATAGAATAAGAGAAAATTTTTCAGATGCTAAAGCAATAAAAAAGCTTTATTTGTGAAAAGCTCTTGTAAGGCTCACAGGTCTCTGTCTTCAAAACCAAAGAAACTCAAAAACAATCCATATCCCAGAGTAGGAGATTACTGAACATACAGAGAATACCATGTTCCACTGCTGACGTTCTGCTACAAACCCAACTGTTGATGATCAATTCAAAGTTAAGATTAAGTACGTCATTCTGATTCTTTGAGAATGGCTCAAGCAAAGTGCCTGTTATCTCCAGGATAAAACTGAGTGTCACTTATGACAGCTTCTGGCACCTGAAGACAGATACCAATTTTTAAAAGCTGTTTGTTTGGGCTCTTTTACCTCTTAAAATTTTATTCTAGTTTCACACAATGTAAGGCTAATATTTGTCTTCATTCCATCCATGTTGAGAATAAACTGTTTCTTCAGTCAGGAGAAGCAATAGAAATGAACTAGAGCCAGCCATGCCTTTGCTTTGAGTGTTCTAGCATGAGAACCAGCTTCTGCAGGATAATGAGGCTTATATCAACATGATCTTTCAGGGTTCTTTGGTTTATTTAAATCCAGCAGTTTAGTTGTCTTTCCTATGGGGTAGTGATTTTTCTTTAAATTCACAACAATACCAACCAAGACAGACTTCTTTCAGACTAAAGTTTTGAGGAAGATTTATTAAAAGAATCTTCAGGTAGTGTTTCTAGCATCTTTTTATTTTATCCTTTTTTTTTTTAGATGGCTATAAATATAAATAGTAAATTTTTCCAGAATAAATTTTAAATCCTTAAATGAAGACCATAGCATGGGCTCAAAATTGTTGATTATCTCTTTTAAGAAAAATAACACTAATTTCAGGACTTGCCTTGTTTCTACATAGTATATCATAAATCAAAGCAGTGATCTAAAAGACCTATTTATGCATAACATTAATACAAACACAAAAACCCCAAATTCAGTTCTCATGTACATATTTCCCTTGGACTACAAAAACAGTGAATCTGGTGCATTTGGGGTATCAGATTGTTCCTACTGTTCCTAGGAATTTGATCTGTGCGAGTACAGAATCATTCATCCATAATGTTATTACCGAAGTATCAACTCCAAACCACTCAAATATCAACAGTAAGATACATGGTCACCTAATAAATTACTTATTAATGTGTCTTGGCAATAGATAACCTTAGATTACTGTAATAGTACTTTCTTGATTATGTCTACCACCCCAAGTCCATAATACCATGCAAACCTGAAAACACAATACATTAAATATATATTTTGTACCAAACTGAACAACTAATAGATTAATCACTTTATAATACACAAAAAAAAATACAAATTGAGAATGAATAAACACTTATTCAACTACACATTTCAGGTTCTGGGCCTTCTGGAACATTAAAGCTATATTTGAAAATAATAAGCTTTGCAAAGTTAACCTGAATGTCTTCTAGAATTCCCCATGAATATCCTCCAGAATTTATGTGTCCCAACCACTCCACTGGAAAAGCTAGAACATGATTATGAGGTTTAATATTGTATGTGAGAACAATATATTTCCCTATCAAACTCTGAATTATAAAAAGTCATTAGGCTTTACATAGTGAAAACGGCCTTGTAAATACTAACTATGTAAAATGTAATGAATTAACTTTCATTTCATGTTGCTTCCTTATATTACTTTTAATATCCTTTCTTTTATAGTGATGTTTCTACTAATCTCTTACAAAAGTATCTACCTTTCTCTCATAACAAATTCTGAGAAGGAGTAACATTTAAAAATATTTACAGCAATGTAAAACAGTCATATAAACTATCTTGCTAGCAACATAAATTGTTGGTTCTATGCTTTAAGAAAAACCCTCTCTCATACAGATCCTGCATTTTTTGGGTTTTTTTTAAGTTTATTTCATCATATTAGGCAGAATAGAAGGACACAAGCAAAAAATATCAGAGTAGTTTTTCAAGGTTTAAGTATGAGTTCAGGTATTTTGTTTCATATTACTATACCTTTATTTTCTAGAAATTATATCAGGTATATCATTACTACTTAAGACACTCCCTTTGTTTTGTACAAGTTCTATAATATGAACCTTAAACTTATGTTTTTTTATTGATGGAGAAGACTGAATTTTAAAACCCTAGATCTATGAACAGCTGTTTATGGACTAATATTACACGTAAGCAGTTCTATAAAATTCAGTACCCTATCTGAATTATACAGTAGAATAGATCTCAGATTTGACTGGTATGGTTTTGGGTGCTTTATGCTTCATTGTTAAATAAGGAGCTGAAGGCTTTCACATAATTTAGTGAAACACCTCCTGCCTCTCTGGTGACCTGATCCTGCTCCAGTTCAGTTCAGCCAAGAAGCCTTTGTAGCCTTTGGTTTCCACCTTGCCTCCCTGGGCCAGCCACTGTTCCTCAACAGAGCGAGGTTCATGCAGCCAAGTAAATATGATCCTGCTATTACTGGTCAAAAGCTGCAGGTTGGCTTTAGCTCAGCAATGATCTACAACAGGTACTGCCTAACCTGCACTAATTTCAGCTCTGTGAATAGGAGAAATGGCTGGCAGACCTAGGCAGTGTAATGCTAAGAAACAACAGCCCTAAGAAGCAACTGAGGCAGTGGACAGCTTTTGCGCAACTTTCAAATATTTACTGAGTATCAGTAAGAAACAGTAAAATTAACTCCACAAAAACCCCAAACAGATTGAAGACTTCTCTTACCCCACTTTCTGGGGTTTCATAAATCCACTCATAGGAAATTCATTAGAAGAACAAATTATGGAGTAACCTGCTCTGTACCTATACACAGCTTTCCTACAGATAATGTCTTTACATACTAGAGCTCATGGAAGTATTTCAGTATGAGAACTTCATTCTTATAGATACAGATGATAAATGAACCCATATAATAGCTAGATACTTAAAATTTTTAACAGGTATGATCTTATATACTTGCCTTGTAAGACTTTGTACTTTCAGCTAATTTCATTTTTATTTCATTTCTTTGCAAACAGTAATCATTACAGAATGTTTTTGTCTTTCCTCCTAATTTCTTCTGATTTATTAGGACAATATTAAACTAAAAAATGTCATGTTCTAGGTCTGTATTGGGTCTTTCTGAAATGAATTTTATTTTCCCCACAGCAGCCTTCATAGTGTTGTGCTCAGTATTGTTAGGTAGAAAGATATTGATTACACAATAATGTTTTGGCTAGTGCTATGCAGTGTTGGCACAGCATCAGAGCTGTTGCTCCAACATTACCTCCTCACCAACAGGTTGGGGAAACAAAATCTTGGGAGGGGAAATAGCCAGGAGAGCTGACCCAAACTGATCAAAGGGATATTCCATACCATATGACATCTGCTCAGCAATGAAAGCTAGGAGAAAGGAAGGGAGGGAGGGCATTAATTAATTATTACACTTGTCTTCCAGAGCAACTACTACATGTACTCAATCCCTACTTCCCAGGAAGTGACTGAACATCACCTGCTGATGGGAAGTAGAGAACAAATATTTTGGGGTTTTTGCTTCCACGTGTGGCCTTTGCTTTTGCTTTATTAAACTGCCTTTATCTTGACTCATCAGAATATTTCCATCTTACTTTCTTCCCCTCCATCCTGTTGAGGAGGGGAATGATAGAGAGGCTTGGTTGACACTTGGAATCCAGCCATGGTCAACTCATCACAATGATGCAATAAAGTTAAACCTCACTAAGAGCTTCGGACAGCTATCCCAGTGATTGTGACAAATTTGCAATGAAATTAAATGTTAACACATGCAAAGTAAAACACGGGAAAAAATAACCTTAGCTATTCGGAAACAAAAAAAAAAAAAAAAAAGGTCCCTACTGTAACTATAAACATAAAGCAAAGAAGTACAAGAACTGAAAGAAGCTTATCAGTTCAGGCTCTTGCTCATGGTCCTCACCTGAGTACGGTTGCAGCTACTCCTGTGCCTGGACATGCATCCCACAGATTTGGACCTTCAGACTGACTTCCCAGCCTAAACTGAGCCCCAGCGGACCATTATGGACTCCTCTGAAGACTGTCCCTAAGCCTCCTCTGTTCCTACAGGGAGCAGTGGGGTAGGATATTTGTCTGCATGGACAGACAATGCCTTGTCTGGCCTCACCATCACTGTCTCTCTTGGCTTATCATCCCCATGGGGCAGCCAGCCCTTGCTGCTCTCAAACAAGATTACTTCACCCAATGTAGGTATCAGATGATGTATTTAACACAAACAGAAGGAAATGCATTTTAAAAATATAATCACATTGCAGAGCTCAATGCCATAGTGCATTGCAAAAATCAAAGACATAAAAACAAGCTACTTAGAAAGAAGCTTTTGAGGACAAGATCATTAGCATCTATTAAATATGATGATGCATGTTTCATCTCAAACTGTAAAAGGTGCTAAGCACTAGATGCAAGTAGAAAGATCACACATCATCTCCTCACTTACCAGGTCCCATCTGATGTCAGAGGAGAATATGGGCCAAGGTGGACCTAGAAAGACCTTTATGAAAGCTCCTATTTCATGTCTCTGTCAGCTGCCATGGAACTAATAATGCAATTTCTCCAACAAGGCAATTCCCTAGGGCATGCATCTGTCAACCAAGAAATCAAGTTTCAACCTTCAGAACTTCTTTACCTGCACAAATCTGATCCTGGAAGGTACTGGGAAAATCGTGAATGAAGAAGTGGAATTAAACGAAGATCACACCACCTCTTCTCCCACCTAAGTCCTGGTGATGCTGGCCATGAGGAACATGATAATGTATCCTGAAAAACATTAAAATGTTCTTCTCAGTTTTGAACTTCATTTTAAGTACTCAGTAGATTTAGAAAGAATGAGGTAGACTTCAAAGACTTATATTTAATTTGGCAGTGTTCCATTTTTTCCAAATCACTTGTCATTAGTTTTAGTGAGCACTGGAAAGATTCTGAATAGAACCTCTAAATTATTCACAATACAACCATAATTCAGTTGTTTCCTGTGGCTCTGTACACATTTACATACATATCTTTTCTAATGATATCACCTCAAACACGGTAATTGGGAACGGAATTTAACATGCAATAAAAACTGTCAAAATTGTCAAAACTACATGCTGAAGTGATGAATATTTTAATTTTACCTACTTACAGAAGACATTGTTTATATGAAAACTGAACTTTATCATGTTTATGATGATATCTACAGAGAATTAGTATTTAAACACTTAGAGTCTAATTTGATCAGTATTTTTACATGAGCCAGTGTGTGCCCAGGTGGCCAAGAAGGCCATCAGCATCCTGGCTTGATCAGAAATAGGCCAGTAGGACCAGGGCAGTGACCATACCCCTGATTTGGCACTGGCAAGGCCACACATTGAGTGCCATATTCAGTTCTGTGCCCCTCACTCCAACAAGGACATTGAGGCGCTGCAGAATGTCCAGAAATGGGAAACATGGTTGGGAAAGAGTCTGGAGACAAGTTCTGTGAGGAGCAGGTGGGGGAGCTGAGGTTGTTTAGCCTGGAGAAAGGAAGGCTCAGGGAAACCTTATCACCCTCTACAACCACCTGAAATGAGGCTGTAGCCAGGTGGTGGTTGGCCTCTTCTCCCAAGAAACAAGTGACAGTATATCAAGATATAAGTAAAATTAAACCTGCTGATTTACATTATTTTTAATCTCAGATTTCATACTTTTTCTTACTGGTATCTTCTAGAATATAAATATTACCAAAATTATGTACACCTTCTATTTTTCTAGAGTATGCATTCTGTGTAAGATCTATGGAATTATAAAGCTTTGAACTTTACTTTTTCATATATGTTCACATATCTTTTATGTATATGAAACAAAATATCACGATAAATATGTTAGCTGAGCAGCAAGCCTTTCATAGGTAGTTCACTTATTTAAAACACTGAATTTCTGGTGAGAAATTCCACAGATTCAATAAAAATAAATAAATTATTGGCTAGGAAGATTACCCTAGGATGTTGTTTTGAACATCTTGAATTTTTAATGTTTTCTCTCTGCTTCTGAGAACGTTTATTCACCTGTGATTAAACTTAGGGAAAAGATGAAATGCAGTAAAGGTTCAGATACAAACTGTAGGCCTAGACATGGCTACAACAAAAATGTTAACCCTACCTTTAGACTGCATAACTCTGTGAACTGTTGACAAAAGACAAAAGTCTTGTGTACTCCAAGTTCTGAGTCAAAAGCCTCCTTCAAGTGAATTAACAGGACTATAAATTCAGAAACAAGACTGTGGCTGTACATCACAGAATCATGGAATGTCTGAGTTGGATGGGACCCACAAGGATCATCAAGTCCAACTCTTGTCCCTGCACAGGACATCTCCAACAATCTCACAATGTTCCTGAGAGTTTTTTCAAATTCTTCTTGCCCTCTGTCAGGCTGATGCTTTGACCACTTCCTGGGGAGGCTGTGCCATTGCTCAACTATCCTCTAAGCAAAGAACCTTTCTCTAATATCCGACCTAAACCTTGCAGCCACAACATTCCCTTGGGTCCTGTCACTGCTCACCACAGAGAAGAGATCAGTGTCTGCCTCCCTTCTTTCCTTCACAAGGAAGTTGTTACTGCAATGAGGTCTCCCCTCAGTCCCCTCTTCTCCAGGCTGAACAGACCAAGTGACCTCAGCCTCTTCTCATATAGCTTCTCCTCCAGACCCTTCATCATCTTTGCTGATCATTAATCAAAATGTTGATGAGCACTGGGCCTAAGATACAGCAGAACCTCACTAGTGACCAGTCACCAGCCGAAATTCACTCTGTCCACTACAACTTTTTGTGTCCAACCATGAGCCAGTTGCTCACCAATCATGTTTATCCAGCTGTCATAATTCCTCCTAGGGAATATTCTGAGAAAAAGGAAGAGCTGTGTTATAAGAGTTGTACATAACTTAGGAATTCATAGTGAGGTTTGGTTTTATGAAGAGCTCTGTTCCCATGACAAGGGGACATGTCAGAATCACATCTTGGTCTTCACTTGAAAATTTAATTTAGGGAATTATAGACTCATGATACTAGATTATATTATTTCAACTGAAAGAAAAACACTTATTTTCAGTGAATTATTGTCAGTTCAAATGGAAACTACAGCTCATTTAGATCAGTTTTGACACCTGCAAAAAAAAGAATTCACAAATGAGAGCATGCTTTTTATCATAAAAGCAAAATTAGAATTGTAGCAGCTAGTTGAATAAATCACATTCGGATCAACCGACATAGCCTTTTTACATACATATATACATACCTATATAGACTCCTGAGACAAGTCTGCTTTTGCTGTTGCCGAACAAGTTACATATATTTTTATTGTTATTTGATATAAATTTTATTGGTGTTACTATTTATAAATTCTACTTCTTTAAATGTTCATAATTCTGAAGAGTTTTCCAAATTATAACTGTATTTAAATCTGTGGTATTGATATTTAAATCTGTGGGCTGCTATTTAAAAATTTAATAGAAAAATATGAAAGTGCAGTAAAACAAGATGGAAACTAGAAATACCTGCTTAGTATGGCTTAAATTCCAGGTTTTAAAATATTTTTTTAAAAATTATGATCTATACTGGTTTATTTTTTCTCTGCTTTTTCTATTTTCATCTATCACAAAGCCAAATACTCAGCAAAAAACCTTTAGAACTATATAAAATAAAGAAGATTTTGCATTTTCTAGCTAAGAAAAAATTTTAAAGTCCCTTGTTGCACTTCAAAGGTGTCTTTTAGTAAATATCTGAACAGACATCTGTAGCATTTTATCCCAGAGACACTCTGCTGCATATTATCCCACTTTAGGTAAGGTTTTAAGTACACATTACCAGAAGTAAAACACTCTCACCTTAAAAATAGGCAAAAACATAGACCTAATCATCTTTTGCCAAAAGCTTTAGATAATGCATGTAATATAAGTAATGGAAACTACTATCAAAAACTTTTCTTACTTTTTTATAAATAGATATATTTTCATTTTCAGAATTTTAATTACTGTGCAAAGAAAAAAATGTAGAAGGAAAAACTTTCGCAAAATCCATACTGCCCGAGTAAACAATAATCACATGCATCCAGGCACAATCTCAGCTGTAATAATTTGTCACATTTTAATCCTGGCCAGAATTTCTGGCTACTCTTTTTTCCTTTATTAGTACTCCCACTTAGCTATTATACTATAATTATTCTCCTGTGTAATTCCATCAAGCTCTTACTGTGTTGTTGGGGTGGTAGTTGAGATGCAAACCACTGTCACACAGGGGAGAGGATGTGCCACTGCTTTGGTCACTGGGAGCACCTAATACAAATACAAATTCACAAGAAAGTTCTTTGTTAATTTTTGATGACATAATTCAAATTTGCATATGTATGTACGGATTCTCCCCAAACACAAATAACTTCTATCATATATAACATTAATTTACTTTCTCCATTCAGCCAATATCGTTTTTCTGGCTTGAATGTATTGCCTTTGTAAGCTATATGGAGGCTCAAGAAAACATTTCCCTCTGCTTTGGTTAAAAAAAAGCTAATGTCTGCTTGGTAACAAAAAAAAAAACAATGTTTCTTTCAAATTTGACAGTAAAAAGGAAATGTGTACTTTCTCTGTTGGTTTTTACTTGAAGGAATTTGTTAGATAACCCTTTTGTTACTCTCAGCGCAGTTAACAGTTCTAAGTGTTCTTGTAATGGTTTAGGAAACTAGAGTGCTACACCTCAAAAGTGACATGATAGGATCCATGCAAATGCACATTCCTGTGCATCACTCAGGCTACTCTGTGGTGCCACAGCCTCTCCTAAAAGAGACAAAAGTACTGGGATACATTTTTATTTAAGAATACAGTATTCTGTTTTTTTTCTTGTTTAGTTTAAATTTAATATATGAGCAAAAGAAAATATTCCATCAAATGTTTGTATAAAATGCTATTTCATGATTTTGATTATTTAATTCCTACTAATTTAAAATCAAGGGCTCTAAGTATTGAAATAAAATATTTTTTTTTCATTGCTTTAAACTTGAGCAATTTAGTTCACTCTCTTAGGGAGCAAAAAGCAAAAGGAAAGCAGAGGTGGCAAGAGGCACAGGCTGATATATAAATATGCTTAGATATGCTGCAATTGTCTATAATTATGCATCCACACTTACAATTTAATATAATTAAAGGAAGACAGCTGTCTCCATATGATTCTCATGGGGCAAGTTCACCAAAACTCAGTTTGGACTAAAAGAAAATACTTTTAATTCTGGAGTAATTTATTCTTAGGTAGACAGACATCTCCACCCAAGCCTCTGAATTTTAAACAGCAAAGTCCTCTAAATATATACACACAATCTCATTTTCACATTTACGAGAAAAAACTCCCTGGGACTAGCTGATGCTGCCCAAAAAATTGATTTTAAATACTCTGCACCAGGATATGAGCTATTGCAAACTAATATAATTCTACTGTTTTACTCACAACTTTACTGATTCACACCAGCCAAATGCTTGGTTATCTGTTTTTCAACCGTAGATAGCAATTTTTCTCTTGAGGTCAATGTTAACACAAGCTCTGGCAATAGGAGCAACTCATATTTAGACTGCAATGCTGATTGTAAAAGCTGCTGTCAATCATCCCCAATGCACAGTAGTTTCAGAAGCTGCAGGTGTTCGTGGGTATGGAATTGAAGGTTCTTTGGTCATGTAATAAAGGCTTACATGCACAATCTTCATTCAGCGGCAGTTTGAGAAAAGCAGGTGCTCTTTTCAGAAAGGACACAGTTAGGGTCACTTCGTCCCCTGCATTGCGAAGGACTTGTACCTGGAAAAGAAATAAAGACAGACACCTTGAAATAAATTTATCACCAAAATGCATTAGCAAATGTCAGCAACACCACACAGCTCTCCCATACTAGAATATAACTGCTTAGCAGTTTATTGCAATTAAATTTGTTTGACAAGAAAGCAAGATGTAAAGCTTGCTATGGGCTTGTCTATTGTGTTCCTCACCACACATACAGTGAATGGGGTGAGGGGGGCATTACTGTCCTGTTTTAGTACTGGTTTTGACCTGTGCTACTGCAGAACTTGCTCCTTGAAACTATTCATCTATGTAACTCCTTCTTTCAGGTCTGTAATCATCCCCCCATACATGTATGTATTTAAAAAAATAAATACATATTTTCTCTTTGCATATATATTTTCTCGTCTTATAAATCCTCAGCTAAAACAACAGCAGTAGTTTTCACAGCTGTACCATAATCCTATGAGCAAGTCCTTCTAACACTCAGAGTTAAATTTAGCTGAGGCGCTCCAGCATGGATGAGAGACCTAATCTTCATCACAGACACAGAGGAAAAGAAACTATTTTAAGCCTTAAATCTTAGATAAGCACAAGCTTAGGTTTTGCCAAAGGGCAGCTTGAATTTTGGACACAGAATGTGCAAAGCACCTATCCAGCTGGGAATACTCTTAGCCTTCCTGTACTTTCCCACTAGTTACCCCTTTGGCTTCTGCTCATCTTTAGCTTTTGTGGGGTACAGCTGCAGACACCCCAAACATTCAGCAGAGTGAGGGACTCCAGGCACCTCCCAAGAGTAGCAGTAAGAAGCACAAAAGCAACTAAGCCAAATGCTGTATGAAACTGCTGAGGAGGAAGTTTGAACTGGCTTATGAGAGCCAAAAAGAACCAGATCTGTTTCAGAGAACAACCAATTCCTGTTCTGGCTCTATAACTTCAAAATTCTTCAAGGGCTGATTTAATTTGGGTGTACAACGACAGAAGATTGCACCATGCCTTTCTTTGAGTGACTGTGTTCATACTGTGCAGACAGCCAGCTCACAGGCAGCTGAGAGCTGCTGTACACAGTGAGACATTAGGGAAATATTTTAAACTAGAACATATCTGCTCCCTTTCTCCTCTGTAGCTGGTTAACCTACAAGTAACCAACCCTTCTGTCATACTGCTGCTTGCGAGAAAGCCTTGTAAATAATTTATGAAGTACTGCTATTCTTTAATTATGCTTGTCAATAATCTACTCAACAGATTTATTTACATGCATGTGTATAACTATACATTGGGATGCTTTCACATGGAACCACTGCATTATGCTGTAAACTTAAAGCAATTCTTCAGGAAAAAATGTCAGCTTTGCTTTGAAACACAATATTGCCTACTCCATGCTGCTTGCCACAGAGGACTAACAATATCGTGACAAAATATTTGATTCAGTAACTGAAATTTTAGGGTCTTCATTGTTTAAAATAGCACAGTGGTTGCCAACACACATTTTGCAGTTTAATATGTATTTATATGTCTGCGTGCAAATAAACACAGAAACATCACAACAGATTTAATAACTTATACTGCATGCCAAAAACTTCATCTGTAACACAGAATCATAGAATCATTTAGGTTGAGACATGAGTCTCTTTGATGAGCAGTTCCCAGTTCTGATGCATTTTCTATCTTAAAATTTGTAAGCAGCAATTATTTCTTAGAAAGATGACTTGTAATGTGCAGAAAAGTAGACCAAGACTCTGAAGTCCTGAATTCAACCAGAGATACCATCCTATATCCTCAGCCACCATAGAAAATTCATTATTTTCCTCTCTTATGTAGCAGTCACACAGTTCAGAGTAGTCAGAGCCAAAGCAGAAACTTACAGGTGTGTACTGTCGAAACATTGTTTCGACAGATGTGGCTAGACAAAGTGCAGGAAAACACAGCTACTCTCTCTGCTGTTAAAAAAAGGTATTTCTTTTTACTCAGGAACAGAGAATAAATAAGTAAAGAAGTTACAGCATTACTTCCTTTAATTTATAAAGTCACCTTTTAAGATAAGAATAAGTGGATATCATCTGTGAAAGAAGCTGAGACACTAACTGCCCTAAATCGTTCTTCCCAGAGTCTACATGATTTCACTTGATAATTTATTGCTTTGTAGGGCCTGCAAGGGGCCATAAGTAGCCTACTGTGACTTTTTTCTCTAACCTCTCTCCCCCTCACACCTCTTTATCTCATAGGATGAAAACTTTAGGCTGGAACACTTTTCAGTGGAAATCAGCAACACTTATTCAGTGAACTGTATTTTGGAGTGTATGAAGCATATAATCCAGAAAGTGACTAGATTTTGACATGCGGAATAAAGACTAAAGAGAGATAAAGGATTAAAAGAGAAAATTACTAGGTAATGATTACAACAAAGAGCAGATGAGTTATCAATTCCATTTTGCTTACTTTCTAGTTATTAACAAAGCCATTCAAGGAATAAGGTTAGGTGAAGTAAATGAGAATTTTAATTACTTTATTGTCTTTTTCTAGCTTTCAGTTGAAAGCTTTACTGTTATTTTACAGTTTTTGTCTTTAATTTACATATGAAATGAAAAATCAAATTACTAAAGATAATGCTAGCCACAAATAACAGTATCAGTACTGAATTTAAATTCGGGCCTCATTCCCACTGTGTAGAAATGGTTAACAAAATTCAATATTACTGAAACATAGCTATATAAGTAAAGAGATTTTCAGTTCATTACTGCTAATAAATAAGCCACCTCTAAATTTTCATAAAATAAAAATATTTAAAGCATTCTGCAATCCTGGTTGATGGCAAGTGGAATATGAGTCGACAGTGCCCTGGCAGCCAGGAGGGCCAACCATGTCTCCTGGGCACAGCATCGCCAGCTGGGCAAGGAGGAGATCGTCCTGTTCTGCTCTGCTCTGCACTGGGGCAGCCTCACCTTGAGTGCTGGGGGCAATGTAGGGCACCACAATATTAAAAAAGACATCAAGCTATTAGAGAGAGTCTAAATGAGAGCCATGAGGATGGTGAAGGGTCTGGAGGTGAAATCTTACGAGGTCACTTGGTATGTTCAGCATGAAAGCGAGGAGACTGAGGGGAGAACTCATTGTGGTCTTCAACACCCTCAGGACAGGAAGAGGAGAAGCAGAGCAGGTACCAATCTCTTCATTCCCAGGACCAGTGACGGGACTCAAGGAAACAGCATGAAACTGAGTCAGGAGAGGTTTAGTTTGGCTGTCACTAAAAGATTTTGCACCCAGACAGTAGCTGAACACTGGCTTCCCCAGGGAAGTAGTCACAGCACCAAGCCTGACAGAGTTCAAGAAAAGTTTGGACAACACCCTGAGGCACAAGTTATGATTCTTGGGCTTGATGTTCTTGATGGGTCACTTCAAACTCAGCATATTCTATGATTTTCCCTAGTACATGAAAAGATGTAACTAGACCCAACCTGGACAAAGTGAAGAAGAAACTTATTTTTGAGGGAATACTAATTTTGATTAAATATAAAAACATGTTTTCAAAAATTTCAAATCAACAATGTAGCAAACTCCTAAGATGATTTTTATCATATATCAAGAGTTTGGCAAAGGTGAGAAAAATTCCCAGAGCTAAATCCAAGGCATATTTGTATAACAAAAATTTAACTCGGTAGTAGACCTAACACGTCCAATTCCTCATTAGGTTATATATTCCCATTGTATGCCATGGAGAATCTCCCTTCAGAAGAGATCTGGCAATTTCTAAAGCAATGTATCCTAAATTGTAGAAAATGCATAACCAGACATCACTAAAAAGATTTGCTTATTGCTTGTGTCACTGAAAGGTAATGATCTGTTTTATTTTCAAAGGCTAAATAGACTATTCAAGATAGTCTATTTGAGGCTAGTCAAGATACATTTCTTTTGTTAATATTGTTGAGATATTCTATGAAGCCTCAGATTTTAGGCATATGAATTTACCTATGTCAAGTTTTAATTTTTCTATTTAGAAACGAATAATAGTAACACTTGATATGTTGATATAGAAATTGTATGGATTAAATGATGAAAATATATTTAGTACTGCTGCTACTACTTTATTTAGCTTTATGTTTTATTTTCAGCTACTGAGTAGTACCAGCTATCCATTTGTTGGTGCACAGCATCTAATGTAGTCATCCATGTAACAGGAAGAAGCCATGACACTGAAAAATCTCAAAATCTCCTCATCAATATTATGGCTATAATAAATTCCTGGTGCAGTTTAAAAAATCATATGTGTATATATAAATATATGTAAATATGTATATATGTATATATATATATATATATATATATATATATATATATATATATATTTAATTCAGAATGAGTTCATGTGGAAAGAACTGCACAAACAGAAACATTAAACATTGTCAATAAACTTTCTTATACAAAGTATAATCTTAATACCAGTAGGGCCAAGAATTAATTTACTTCTACCATAAATAGCCCTACATAAAGTTAGGTTGTTCATGAATGAAGTGAGATAGGCAAAAAACCCAGTTGTGCATATCTGAGCCAGTAGCTGTGTGAAATAGTGACATTAAAAGAGTCAGTGTTTCTGGAGCAACAGTGACTATATTTCTATACAATTACTGTAAAGAATATAAGGGGGCTATTTGAAAAAGTAAATTTTATGGTGATGTGTGGTATTGCTGAAGAAAATATCTACATTATAACAATGCTAATCTGAATTTTTAATAATGTCTACAATTATACTGCCTTTTAATTTTATAAACCTTTTTACATTCCCAGTTCAAGAAAACATTTGAGCATATGCTGAAGTCTCTCTCAATATATTCAGGAAAGCAATAAAGCATGAAGTCCCTCTGACTTCAGTAAGTATTCTTTCCTGAATAAGACTGTAAATTCCCCCTCAAATTACCAGTGAAATCTACCCACCAATAAAGTGGTAAGGATTTCAAACAGAACACTTATTTAGATCCCAAGGTCTATGTTCTCTTGAAGCAAATTTCACTTTTCAGTTTTTAAAG